ATGCTTAAACTGCCCCCTGGCTGAACACTCTTCTCTTTGGCTTCCTGGGTTCCACCCCTTCCTCCTGCTCTTCCGGCCTGCTACTCTGTGCTACGCCCATGCTTACCTTGCTCCCGAAGACCTGGTCCCTCTTAGTAGGGTAACAAGGGAACGTGTTCAGTGCAGATCAGTGATTGATCAAATAGCTCTCTTCTATTCTCATTTTAGGAGTTCTGGGTGGTGCAAATGGTTAGCATGCTTGGCTGCTAACTGAAAGACCGGTACTTCAAAACCACCCAGCAGCACCTCAGAGAAAGGCCTGGAGATCTAATTCCAAAAAAATCAGATGGAGCACAGTTCTACTCTGACACGCATAGGGTTGTCAAGAGTTGGAGTTCACCTGATGGCAACTAGTTTGGTATTCTCATTTCAGTTGGTTAAAGAAGTGCAAATGCCACCCAACTATAGCTGTACTTAGAGCCCTTTCAAAGTAATAAGACTGAAATTATTGAGAAGGAGAAGGCAAAGCACAAAAAGGATAAGAAATGGAATTGTCCATGACAAGAAAGCAGAAAACTAAAAAATCAACCTAGAGGAACAGGAATAAATTGATTAATGAGCATGGTGAAAAGGTTCTATGTGAAAAAGGGATAGGGAACAGAACTTACACAACATCTCGAGACAAATAATCTGGAGGAGAAGGAAGGGTCAATGTGGACAGAATTTATCAAAGCCACGGTAGGTTTGTGTGAGCTCATGAGCATGCAATTGACTTTCCTAGTAAGAAGGTACTGGAGTAGGCTTAACTTAGATTGTCATGTACTCTGGGTTGAATTTTGTCCACCAAAAAGATATGTCCAAGTCCTAACCTGCCATACCTTGGATCTGACCTTATTTGGAAATAGTGTCCTTGCAGATTTAATTAGTTAACATGAGTTCATACTGGAGTAGGGTGGGCCCTTAATCTAATATGTGTGGTGTCCTTATAAAAAAAAAAGAGAGAGAGAGAGAGAGAGAGAGAGACAAATGCAGAGAAGAGAATGTCATGTGAAGACACAGACACAGAGAGAAGACACCATGTGAAAATGGAGGAAAAGATTGGAGCTATGCTGCCACTAGCCAAGAAACACCTGGGATCAAAGCAGTTTGGAGAAGAGGATCAGCATTCTATTTGTTTTCCAGGGAGAATTGTTAGAACTTGTAGAATGCTATGAGAGATTGGTGTTAAATGTATTCTCAGATTACTCTCCTGTACCCTGTGAGTGAGAGTGAGGTATCAACAATGGCTCATTTTGTTGCTGTGTGTATGTGTGTGTGTCAGAGAAAAGGAGAGGGAGAGGGAGAAGAAGAGGGAGAGGGAGAGGGAGAGAGAGAGAGAGAGAGCATTCACATGGGGAGGGAGGTGGTCCATAGTGATAAAACACTGGCCCTTGAATGTTGTCTTGCTTGGGAGGAGATATGGAAGACTTCTCTGGCCACTCAGAGCAAGAAATGGACAGCAAGATCAGAGCTATGATTCAAGAGGTCATGACCCTTGGACAAGCTGTCTGAGTAAGGAGCAAAACTGACTAAAATCCAGCCTCAACTTACCAGAGTTGCTACTTGAAGGGAAATTCATGCCCATCAGAAGGCTCAGGGGACCCCACACACACACCTTCCTCTTTAGCTGCTCTTCATTTACCTAGTTCTGAGTCACAGAAGAATCTTTTACAACCCACAGAACTGGGTTCCAGAATAAAATGAGAGGGAAGCCCCTTCAACAACTAGTGGAATGATTGAAACTGATTTTGTGATGGAGTGATATGATTCCTTCTCAAAGTGCGGCCCATGGACCAGCAGCACCAACATTATCTGGAAGTCTGCAAGAAATGCAGACTTGTAGGCCCCACCCCAGACCCACTGAATCACAATCTGTAATTTAACAAGATTCCAAATGATTATTCATGTGCACATTACAGTTTAAGGAACATAAACCTGACCTACCCATTTACATAAGGCCCCTTGCTCTGAGATCAGGAACAGACCAACTGGTGATCTTATGATCTAATTTATCCTAAACCTTACCCAAAATCCAAAATCCATAGCATAACTTCTAACTGGCCCATTCTGATTGAATTATAGTAGCACCGTGGTTTTTGAGACATGATCTTAGACTAGTGAGAATCTTAAATTTCTCATCTTAAAGGGAAGAATTTAGATTAATTGGAGTCAAAAGTCTCCTAGTTCTAAGCTTTCATAGTCATAAAATGCAAATAGTGAAATAGCAGTAACTTAGTGACATGGATTAATACTTAAGTCCATGCAGGTGTTAATCATTCCCTCTTTTCAATTATTATCATGTTTAAATTCTTTTCAGTCAACAAATTGGAGCTCATTCCTGACAAACCCCAGCTCTGATTTGCACTTACTTGTTATACAGGACAATGTCTGGCCTCCACACCAGGTCGCTGGGGATCCTAATGGAGTCCAGCCCATCATACTGGTCTCGATCCCATTTGAGATATGCGTCATGCCAGATTTGGCGGATCCATAAGTATGCAGTCAGAATTTGGTTTCTTTCATCCTGCACAAGGAACCTACATGTAACTTTGTCTAGTAGACACTTCTATCCAGTGTCTTCTGCTACAGATTGAAATGAGTCCCCCCAAAATGTGTGTTGGACTCTTAACCCGTAGATGTGATCAAATGTAATGTAATAAAATAACTTTCCACAATGCAATCAATATAATGCAATATAATGTAATCAATCAGTCAGCTGAAGTCATACCAGTGTAATGACTTAATCACTTCTGAGTTATATCGAGTACAGCACAGATATCCTCTCTCTCAACAAGCACATACACTCTCATACACACATGCACACACCCTGGGGAAGACAGATATGAGATTCATCTACAAAGGAACTCCAAGGATTGCTAACAGACACCAGAAATTAGGAGAGGAGTTCACAGAAGAAACAGACAAAGCCAAGACCCAGATTTGGCCTTTCAGCCTTCAGAAGTGTAAGAAAATAAATTTCTGTTCTTTAAAGCCATCCAATTGTGGTATTTTTGTTAAAGCACCACTAGGAAATTAAGACATCCTCTATTTCTAGAACACTTGTTCTTCACAATAGAAATTTCAACAGCACTAACCTACTTTCTATAAAAATTTACAGCCTTGGAAACCCTATGAGGTAGTTCTACTCTGCTGTAGGGTTACTATGAGTTGGAATCGACTCAACAGCAGTTGGTTTTTGGGGTTAATCTTTATAGAAGCAGACTGCCACATATTTCTCCCATGGTTGGTGAGTTCAAATCACCAACCTTTCAGTTAGCGGCTAAGCACTTAATCACTGCACCACCAGGGCTCCTTTCCGTAAAGATTACAGCCTTGGAAACTTATGGGGTCATTCTAGTCTGTCCTATTGGTCACTATGAGTCAGGATCAACTCAACAGCAACAGGTTTTTTTGATTGATCTATTTTCAATATGTAAGTGAGAGCTTTTTCATTCTATTCCATTGACTGATTACTAAGGTCATTTTTATTTTTTTCCTGCCTGATTTAGGGTTAAACATGAAAGTGAACAAATCAGATCTTTGCATGGATCAACCACTCAAAGTTTTCTGAAAATCAATCAGCTAGTGATATACTTACTTGAATGTGAAAGTCAAGAAATATCTACAACGAACAGAAGAAAAATCCTTGAGGTTTCATAGTGCTATCCAAATACATAAGCATAAGGGCTGAAAAAGGTATGTCATATTAAAACACCAGTGGGTTTTTTTTGTGATGGTAAAATTTATGTACATAAAATTCACTGTTTTAACCATTTTAAGGTGTTTTAATCCTAATAATTTTAATCCTTAATAATTCAGTGGTTTCCAGCACATTCACAAAGCCATGCAATCATTAACACTAATCGCAGAACATTTTTATCATCCAAAAAAGCAGTCACTCCCCAAGCCCATTCACCCTAGCCCTTGACAACCACTAATCTGCTTTCTTTCTCTATGGATTTACCAAGTCTAGACATTCTAGACATTTGGGAGCTCTGGTGGTGAAGTGTCTAAGACATATGACTACTAACCAGAAGGCTGGCAGTTCAAACCCACCAGCCACTCCTCAGAAGAAAGATTGGGCAATTTACTTTTGTAATGATACTGCCTTGGAAACCCAAGGAGGGGTCACTATGAGTCAAGACCAACTTGACAGCAGTGAGATTTTTTTTCTTCTTTTTATTTTTTTCTGGTAGACATTTCACATAAATAGAACCTTATAATAGGTAAGAAAGACCACATTTCCTTATGTGAACTAAAAAGGTTTCAGTTAATGGCTAGAATTAAGTAACATTTAGTGAAATTAATTTTGTAGAACGCTTCCCCTGTTGCCCCCTTCTCCCACCAGCTTGCTCACAGAGCTGTCTACTCTCCTCCTCTCTCGAATTCCCAGTGAAGACGTTCCCTTTGGAAAGGACTTTTGTTCTTCATTCTAAGCAATATTCCAAAGAGTCAGCACCATATGTTACTCACCATATCCTTTATCTGAGAAAGGGTGATCTGCAGTGTGACATTCAGGACTTTATCTGTATCTTCCACTGGACGCAGAGCATTGGAATAATCTTCAAAAAGATCATTAAATAATTCCTGAGCATATTTTCCATCTGCCGACTCTACAGCTGCTCAAAAAGAGGGACCTGGATCAAAATTCAGAGTGTCACATGTATTTCAAGGTAAAAATACCAGTTGTTGTTGTTGTTGTTATGTGCTGTTGAGTCGGACCCGACTTATAGCAACCCCTCCTTGGGTTTCCGAAGCAGTATCACTATGGAAGTAGATTGCCCCATCTTCCTTCCGAGGAGTGGCTGGTGGGTTTGAACCGCCAGCCTTCTGGTTAGCAGTCAAGTGCCTTAGGCAGAGTGAGGACTAAAATTGGAGATGACCCAGCATCAGTGAAAGACACAATTTGGATTCATGAGAATTGTTTTTCAGTATACCCTACCCAGATCAGGGAATCCCTGGCTGGTGCAAACAATTGTGAACACGGCTCCTAACTGAAAGGTTGGTAGTTTGAATCCATCCAGAAATGTATCAGAAGAAAATCCTGACAATCTTCTTCCAAAGATCACAGTCATTGCAAACCCTATGGAGTACAATTTTACTCTGAAGCACATGGGATCCCCATGAGTCAGAATTAACTCTATGGCAACTGGTGTGGTTTGTTTTTTTTTTGACCCAGATCAATTTGAGTCAGTAAGAACCACAGACCATTTCCATGCGGTTAGATCATTTGTTCTGTCTTCCCTGCCCCACCTCATTCCACCTCCCACCAAAAGAATGGCCCCAGATGACCCCAGATGGTTATATGCTACCAACCCTCACCTCTCAGTCTGGAAGCAGCAAAATAGATGCAACAAAAGGAGATGCAGCAATAGGGCCAGTTCATCTTTCTCCTGAGTCTATGTCCCAGCCAGGCAGCACTGTCTTCTACTTCCCTCTGTGAGTAGAGAAGGTCCAGTCACAAGACCCTACTCTGCCCAGTCTCACGATGGCAGGTGGAGAGCTCAGGCTTGTTTTCCAGAAAGGACCTGAGGTCTTGAAAGCTAGACCTGCCTTCCCTCCCCCTCTGGTAATCTGAGACTGGCAGCTCCAGTGACTGAGATGCTTGGAGCTGGGGGTGTGTTTACATCAGACAGTGTTGTTCTTAGGGAGTCACCCCATTGAGGGTCCTGAAGGGAAGTAGGAGTAGAACTCAGGGTAATGTCTGACACTCCAGTTCACCTAAGCAGAGTGGGAGCTTTCTATATCAAGTAAATTCAATCTGAGTCAAGGATCTTATTGTTACCTGCTGTTGAGGTAGAGTCAACCTCAATTTGTGGCAATGTCAAGCACAACAGAATAAAACTCTGCCCGATCTTGAGGCATCCTCCAAGTGGTTGCGAATCAGATCACCATGATCCACAGGATTTTCAGTGACTGATTTTTGGAAGTAAATCTCAAGGCCTTTCTTCTTAGTCCATCTTAGCCTGGAAGTTCCACTGAAACCTGCTCACCATCATAGCATCATGCAAACCTCCACTAACAAGAGAGGTGATAGTTGTACACGAAGTGCATTGGCCAGGAATTGAACCTGTGTCTCCCACATCGAAGGCAAGAATTCTACCACGGAACCACTAATGCCCCTGAGTTCAGTGATTGTTGTTGTTGTTGTATGCCATCGAGTCAGCCCAGACTCATAGCGACCTCTCCTTGGGTTTCCGAGGCAGTATCACTACGGAAGTAGGATTGCCCCATCTTCCTTCCGAGGAGTGGCTGGTGGGTTTGAACCGCCAGCCTTCTGGTTAGCAGATGAGTGCCTTAGGCACTATGCTACCAGAGCTCCTGAGTTCAGTGATTAAGGGAAGCTAAATAGACCCAACTATGGGGTAATTATCCAGAAAGACCCTATACACTAGCTGCATGTGAAAGGGAAAGACAAGTAATTCCAAGGTCTCTAGAACATAGTACATTACCATTTTGCTTCTGACAATCCTTCAGTTTGTCTACTGGGCCTGGACCTTCTGTAGTAAATCTCTGTGTGTGAGTATATGGGGGTGTGCTGGATGGGAGGAGAGGATCCACTCTCTTAAGAAGCAACCACACTGTGAATTGGATTTGGAGTCAACTGCCAGCCCAAACCTTGCCAGTGCTATGATTCTGGACAGGTTACCTAAGCCTGGGAAAAATAATATTCCTTTTCTCCCATATGGGAGATACCCTATGCAAAAGCCCTTTATCAATTGTTCCACCGCTTCTCTGCCAGTTTGTCACCCTGTGCTGTCTTGTGTGTTGCTATGATGTTGGAAGCTATCCCACTGGTATTTCATATACTAGTAGGGACTTCTGTGGTAGACAGGTTTCAACAGAATTTCCAGAATAAGATAGACTAGGAAAAAATGCCTAGTTCATTCCAAAAACTAGCTGCTGAAAGCCTTGTGGATCACAATAGATGAGCCCCAAGATTGGAAGGCACTCAAAATACACAGTAACCACAACAATGGACGGGAGCACACCAACGATTATGCAGATGGGACAAGGCAGTTTCATTCTGTGTATATGGGTCACCGTAAGTCAGAGCCTGCTCAACGCCAACTAACAACAACATGTAAGCGTTAGTAATTTTTAACCCTGATCAGCTTTGCAGATCCAGAATTCCTACCAAGTCATCCAGGATTTACCAGCTTTAAAAAGTGGTTCAAAGGCTAATCAACTCAGTATGAGAATGATTCATAGCCAATGGAGATGTTGAGAAGAATGATATCCCTTTACATCTGAATGCTACTTTATATAATTTCACATTTATTTCTCATATGTGATTTAATTTTGCTTCCACAAAAGAATGTCGATTTCCAATTGTCATGTAGTTTGGGAACTTATGTCTGTCTCTCCTCTTGCCTGGGGGGAACGAAGTTGGAAAACGAAATTAAGATCATTCGGTTGCCTGGAATCAGAGCAAGGAAATTGGAGAGCTCTGTTTCATCAGGTTACAGCTGTCTGATGAGTCATCCTGCGCCTCTTCAGGAATATATCCTTCGAGTAGAAAAGGCACTCAGGCCATCAGTTAAGTGTGCTTCTTAATTGCCTATGCCCTTGTGTTGATTGTGAAGACATTATTTTCCTGTTGCTTCTAGTCTGATTCACCATCACATGACACGATTCCTGCTGCCCATACTCAGGCTCTGAAATCTCAGAAGCTGAGGATACTTTTGAAATTGTGTCTAATGCCTCAGTTTCATATGAGCAAACTGAGGCCCAGAAATAAGAAGTGACTTGCCCACAGTGATGGCTGACCAGTGGTAGAATCCAGACCTCTTGCTGCAGCCCAATATGCTCACCATATTACTAACGGTGCTTCTCTTTCTTCTCATTGTTTTTCATCAACTTGGCATTTGCCAGGTAGGTGGCATCAAAGACTACTTTGTATTCTTTTATTCTGTACAATACTCAGAGCAGCACCTGGTTAATAGGTGCTCAGTGAATATTTGGAGCTAGCTGTTAAGGTTGCTGCTCAAAGCTCCCACTAAGGTAATCACCTCTGGTAATCTTTGGTTGGTTTTGGTTAACTTAGTTCATTCAATTGGACACCACTTTTAAAAAACGGTAACAGATGGTGTTCACCTCTCAATGTTCAATCAAACAGTATTAAACCAAAACTATTTTGGGACAGGATGCTACCAGTTAGAGCAAAGATGCTAATGACTAGAAAATAAACTCCTGTCAATGTCATTCTAAAGGCAACTATTACATATTTTCCCAGGGACCTGCCCAACTTCACCCCAATCAGTACCCCTTGCGTAGCTCCAAATCTTACACTTAAAAAGAGAACTGCAGCCTAGTGGTCCTATAGCTCATAGGATGCTTCAATGGAAGAAGAAATCAGTTGAATTCATTATTTAGGGTTCAATAAGGCTGGAGAAGATTAAATAGATTGAATTGTGTCCATCCAAAAACATATGTTGACACCCACAAATATATACAGGTTTGACAGAAGATATCTTTACATATGTATCTCTACATATGTTGCAAATGTATTCATGAATTAGTACAGCATACAGGGGGCAAAGTTATGAAAACTTCTGAGGCATAACCAAACACCTTGAAGGAATGATTCACTGGGCCTGGGGGCTCAGGACCATAGTCTGGAGAGACACCAAAGTCCACAAAGACAATGCTCTACATCATATTGTGGCGAGTAGTGACTGGGTTCTTAAAAGCTTATGAGTGGCCATCTAAGATGCAATTATTGGTCTCTCCTCATCCAGAGCAAAGACTGAAGATAATCAAAGATTCAAGGAAACAATCAGTCCAAAGTACTAATGGGCCATGTGAACCCCAGCCTCCAAAACCCTGAGACCAGAAGATGGTGTCTGTCTACTGCTACTGCCTGCTCTGAAAGGGATAACAACCAGAGTTCCTAGATAGAGTAGTAGCAAAATGTGGAACAAAACTCAAAATCCTGAAAAAGATCAGGCTCACTGGTTTGATAGATATTGGTGGAACCTCCAAGACCATGGCCCTTACACTCCTTTCAGGCCTGGAACTGAACTCACCCCTCACCTCACCCCCTCCTCCCTCCACAACCCTCCCCCACCCTCCAGCACAACTTTCAGCCAAACAATACAAAAAATAACAAACTCACTGCCATCAAGTGGATTCCGACTCATAGAGAAACCCTATTTTGGGTTTCTGAGGTGGTAAATCTTTACAGAAGTAGATTGCCCAGTCTTCCTTCCATGCAGTAGTTGGTGGGTCTGAACCACCAACCTTCTGGTTAGCAGTCAAATGCCTGAACAATAGCACCAGGGAGGTAGCACTCTTTAGAACAATCGACTATAAGATCAAAGGAACAGCATTTGCCCAGGGATAAACTCAGAAGGCAGGAAGGGCTAGTAAAGAGGGATGAATGGAAACAATAAACACAGGGAGGAAGTGGGAAGAGTGTTGTTACATTGTGGGAGCTGCAACTCAATGTCACAAAACTAAATATGTGTGAATTGTTGAATGGAAAATCAATTTGTTCTGTAAACTTTCAGCCACATCCCAATAAAAAGTTTAAAAAAAAGCAAAACATTCAGAAAGGGATCAAAATTGGATATCCTGAATAGAGTGGGAAAAAAATGTGGAACAAAACTTAATATCATAAAAAAGACCAGGCTTACTGGTCTGACAGAGACTAGTAAAACCTCCATGACTATGGCTCCTAGTCACCCTTGAAACCTGGAATTGAACTCACTCCTGTGGCATAACTCTCAGCCTACATAGACCTACACCAGGGAGATGCACTCCTTAGAAGAATCAACCATGAGAAATCAGAAGTACAGCATTTGCACAGGGAGAAAGGTAGGGAGGCAGGACTGCATAGGTAAGAAGGACACAGGGAAAGGGTAACCACAGGGAAGAAATGAGAACAGAGCTGTTACACTGCAGAGAATGTAACCAGTGTCACAAAACAAAATGTGTATGAACAAAATGAATCTGCTTTATAAAATTTCATCCAAATCACAATTAAAAGAAAAAAGGTAAAACAAACAACAAGATATGTTGAAATCCTAATCTCCATGGCATTTGTGAATGTGACCTTGTTTGGGAATAGTGTGTTTGAAGACATTATCAGTTAAGTTAACATGAGGTCATACTAATGTTAGTAGGGTGAGTCCTAATACAATATGAGGAGCTCTGGTGGCGTAGTGCCTAAGGCATGTGACTGCTAACCAGAAGGCTGGTGGTTCAAACCCACCAGTCACTCCTCAAAAGGAAGGTTGGGCAATCTACTTCTGTAGTAGATTGCCTCGGAAACCCAAGGAATGGTCGCTATGAGTTGGATCTGACTCGATGGCAGTGAGTTTGGTTTAATACAATATGAGCAGTGTCTTTATGAAAGAGTAAAAGAAACACAAAGAGACAGACGTAGAGGGAAAATGACCACAAGACTATGGCAGCAGTCAGAGTT